CGGCCCCCTCACCCGGCTAGCTGGGAATACACTGCTAGCTATCTCTGACCTACCTCCTAGTCCTCCACTAACGGGCTAGGGGAGGCTGACTGGCCCGACACTGGTAAGTCGGGCTACGGTACCCGGAGTCCCAGAGCACTAGCTCTGGCTCTCGGGACCACGCCGCTGGCTCGTTCCTGCGCGGCCCTGACAAGGGCGGCGTCCCAGGGGAGTCCAGGGCTCTAGCTAGACGGTCTTCGGTCTTCCCTGGTTTAGCTTAAACATTGTACCCCGAGCTCTCCGGCTCATCCCCTTTTATACCACAACCCCCTGCTGAGGGGTGGGGCCCCCCGGGGGATCACAACTCCGGGCCAACCCCCCAGGCTGCCCGGTGCGGACGTCGTTGCGAGCACCTCCCCTGTGCACTCACGGAGCCCCGCCCACTGTTTTTGTTTCCCGTGTGATCCTATGCATACAGCCCCTCCGAAACACCCCTACATCACCCCCCCCTGTACAGCTCGTAGCCGTCCCGGCTGCAACAACGACAATAAAAGTTTATTTAACCCTTGACCCCGCGTGTGCCTCACAATTTTTTTTTCAACCATAACGCGACGAGAACAACAACAAGAACCAGAAAAGCCAGAAGGGAAAATAACCAGACACCCCCCCACCCCCGAATAAATACGAATTCCGTAAAACCAACGTATATACAATTTGCAGGGAACCCCAGCACACACACAACACACCAGGAACACAACATACGTACAATCCAATGTGCCAGGAACACACCGCGACGTAGCACACAGTGAACATAACATGTGAAAAATAAAAAAAAAATTTGTGCATCAAAAGAGTCTGCGCATTCTTGCGCGCGTCCTTGCCGCAGGCCCGTCACACGGGGCAACCCCGGATGGCGGGCCGTCGGGCGGCAGCTGTCCATTTCCGAGTGAGTCTGCTCTTGATGTCGCGAGACCCTCGGCATCCCCCGTAGGGGCTGTCGGGCGTGAGCCCGTCATTCCTGGTGCACCTGGGGGCGGGACAGCCGGCAACACGTCAGGCGAGAGCAGCGGAGACGGACCCTTTGAGTCGGTCGACCCCCCACATGTTTGGCCACGCGTGTGTGGAGTGGGACCTCGCACCGCAACGAAGGGTTTCAGTCTGGAGGGGCGCACAAACCACCGGCGCTTCCCCCATTTGATGCGCACGCACTGAGGCCGCAGAACCTCGACCACCTCGACGGGGCCCCGCCACGGCCGCACCAGTTTTGAGGAGGTCGCGAGTGGTACCTGGGGACAGTGCAGCCATGCCCTGTCTCCCGGCTTCCACTGTAGCACGTGCGCGCGACCCAGTCTGAGCCGCTCATTAGCTTTCTGCCGCATGTCGGAATTTTGCATGGCAGCATCCCGCGCCTCTGTCAATTTCGCAAGGTTAAATTTAACATGGTCGGCCAATTTAGTTTTACCCTGCGGCGCGGGGATCTGCAGCTGGGCCCGAACAGGTGGGTCAGGTTCGCGGCCATACATGAGGAAGAAGGGGGAAAATCCCGTCGCAGCATGGGGGGCCAATCTGTATGCTGCCAGGACCCCTTGAATTTGCAAGTCCCAATCGGTCTGTGAGTCCGAAACCTGCTGTGACAACATAGACGTGATGGTTTGGTGCAGACGCTCGACCATCCCGTCAGTTTGCGGGTGATAGAGAGAGGTACGAATTTTTTTCGTGCCCAGGAGCTCACAGACCTGTTGGAGCAGTTTGCCGGAAAAATTTTTGCCCTGGTCGGTCAGCAGCCGTTCCGGAGCACCTTTGTCCAGGACGTATCCCTGGACAAAGGCCTCCACGATGGCTGCTGCCGACTGGTTGGCCAGGGGCCAGGCCATAGGCCAGCACGTAAAGTACTCCACCCCGGTCAACAAATATCTATTGCCCCTGGGGGTGGCGGGGAATGGGCCCAGAATATCCAGCGCGACAAGTTCGTTCACTCTGGAGACTCTGATAGACTGCAAAGGCGGGTTTGACTCCCGTGCTGGTGGTTTCCGCTGCGCACACCGAGGGCATGACCCCAACAGATCTGCGACATCCCTCGTCATGCCCGGCCAAAAAAAATCAAGCTGGAGCAAGGCGAGGGTCTTATGGGTCCCCAGGTGGAGGAGGCGCTCATGAGCGGCCCACACCACCTTACCCCGTAACCCAGAAGGGACCACCAGCCGGTGTCGATGGGATTTCCCGTCCCAATGCATCAGCAGACCCGTGATCATTTCCCATGCGTCGGCATCACCCCTCCCCCGCCCAGCATCCCCGACGTGACGACGCAACGCGAGGAGGGAGGTATCCTCCATCTGTAAGCGCCCCCATTCAGTGACAGGCAACCCCAACAGGGAATCTGATCCCTGTTGTGCGATCGAATTCGTCATCGACGCTGCGTCGTCTGCGGCCGCCAAGACCGGAACAGACATTTCACCTGGATGCCTGCAACGACCCGACCCCAGGAGGCATGCGCATTCGGGGGTGGTTGGCATGCGTGACAGAGTGTCCGCATTGGTGTGGCGAACGCCCTTACGGTACGTGGTCTCAAAATCAAAGTCCTGGAGAACCTCCAACCAACGAGACAATTGTCCCGATGGTTGTTGAACTCGCAGGGCGTACTGTAGTGCCGCATGATCTGTACGGACGGTGAACCGCTGACCGTACAGATATGGCCGGTACTGTTGGATGAAATAGACAATTGCCAACAGTTCCCGACGGGTGACACAATATCGTTGCTCCGCTGGAGACAGCACCCGACTACCATATGCGACTACCCGTTCCACGCCATCAACCACCTGGGAAAGCACGCCCCTAATACCTGTGTTGCTCGCATCGGTGTCGAGCACAAAGGGTTTAGAAAAATCGGGGTAAACCAAGGGAGGGGCTTTAACCAGAGCGTCCCGAAGGGAGCGGAAAGCAGCCTCCTCCTCCTGTCCCCAATGAAAGCGGACCCCCTTTGACGTCAAATCGTGTAGGGGCTTAGCAATCGTGGCAAAATCCGCGACAAAGCGTCGGTAATATGACGCGAATCCAATGAAACTCCTGACCTCTCCCACAGAGGTGGGAGTCGGCCAGGAGCTGACGCACTGCGTTTTGGCGGGATCGGTAGCAATACCTGAGCGTCCGACGATGTGCCCCAAATAACGCACCGATTCGCGTAACAGATGACATTTTTGGGGTTTAAATTTCAAATTAGCAGCCCGCATTTTGAGGAAAACCGCCCGCAACCTCTGGAGATGCTCGTCAAATGTTCTGCTAAAGACGATAACGTCATCCAAATAAATTAAGCACGAGTCCCATTGCAATCCAGCCAAAACCAATTCCATCAATCGCTGGAAAGTTGCCGGCGCCGAGTGGAGTCCCATCGGCAACCGGTTGAATTGGAAGAGACCGTGCGGTGTACGGAATGCAGTTTTAGGCTTAGAATCATCGTCCAGAGGAAGCTGCCAGAATCCCGAAAGCAAATCCAATGTGGATAAGAATCGCGCTTCCGCCAAGGCGTCCAGCGATTCATCAATCCGTGGGAGCGGGTATGCGTCGGCAACAGAAATTTTGTTGAGGCGGCGAAAATCGACGCAAAACCGCAACGAGCCATCCTGTTTCTTAACCAGGACGATCGGCGCTCCCCACGGGCTGGTAGAGGGAAAAATGATGTCGGCGGCTAACATGTCATCAACAGCCGATTTGACATGGTCCTTTTCGGCGGGACTTAACCGAAAGGGATTTTGGCGTATTGGCGCGCTGTCACCCGTATCAATATGGTGACGCAGCAGATGGGTACAGCCTAAATCGAATTTGTTCTGACTGAAAACGTCGGAAAATTCGCGCAGCAGTGTCCTAAGTTTTTGACGCTCTAAATCCGACAGGTCCGTCGATCCCGCACAAAGCGCCTCGAGCCACCCTTCATCGGTGTCCGAATGTGGATGCGGCAGAGGGACAGTGCCGACGTGATTCGCGACAGGTTCCTCACAGGGCACCGGCGTTGCGTGAGCAAGCACGGTCCCTTGAGGAACTACCACTGTCTGCGACCCCACATTGAGGACCGCGATGAAAGGGTCACCGTCCCCTTTTACGATGGTCTGGGCCGGAATTAAATGAGGTCCGCTAACCCCGGCCCTAGATGGCCCCAGCAGAATTCCCTGGTCCCCAATGCCCTTAGCGAAGGGCCGACGAAGTTTGAGAGGCACCAACATTTGTGCCCCCGGCGGTACGCGAACCGTTTTAACGACGAACGCCGGTACTGTCGGGAACGCCGTCCGAGCCGCAGTAGGGGAAGGCAGAAACACCATACGTCGTCCCGACGGGAGCTCAATGCAGCCCTGGTCTATTAAAATACGAATCGGCATTTTGCCCAAGAAGTCCGTCCCCAGCAGGCACGGAACCGCCAGCGAGGAGGAAACAAAAATGGGGCCGGACAATTTGATATCACCGATACAAATTTGCGCTCGAATTTGTCCAATGATGCCAAGTGAGCCCCCGTTAGCAGCATAGAATGGGACGTTAACCGGCAGTAAAGGACGGCTCTGGACAGAGAGAATATTGTAAATTAATTCCGAAATGATGGTCGCCGATGCTCCTGTATCGACCAGGATGCGCACCTCAACCCCGTCAATGTGCCCTACCACGGCTGACGACCCCGACGACGCAGCCACAACGTGATGGGCCAACATGGACCACTGCCTGGGTTCGATTTGAGTCCCCATAGTGGTGCGTGTTAGCCCGACGGTGCGTAATGTCGGCCCCCCGTTCGTTGCGGTGTGCGAGTGTGTGATGGGTGTGTGCTTGGGCCAAACATGAGGGGTGCCGCGACTCGCCGGGTTATGTTGATGGAGCTTGGGAGGAGGAGGGCCGGCGTCCTGTCGAGGCGCCGTCCCGCGCTGCCGAGGAGAGCGGCACCCCGAGGCGACATGGCCCCGGATGCCGCAATTGTAACAGCGCGGGAGCGCAGGCGGCGATGACGGACGATCGGAGCGGCTCGATCCATCCCGGCCCGCCCGTACTCCCGCCCTCTGCTGCTGTCGATGGTCGATGGCGTAAACCTCCTCCGCCGGGAGGGTGGCTGCAGCCACCGTACGCCCGGCCGCTGCCCTGCTGGCCTTCTGTCGCTGCGACAGCAGGTTGGCGTGGAGGAGCCGCGCCGCCTCGAGGGAACCCATTTCTGTCCTCCTGTGCAACGACGGCGATGTCCAGGTCGTCCGCCAGCAGGAGGATCTTTTCTGTTACCATCGCGTCCACGCCTTCGTCGTCCATTCGAGGGAAGGCCGTCTTCGCCAGTGCCAGGAGACTCGTACGGTACGCGAGGGGCGACTCCTTTGCACCCCGCTGGCGATCATAAAAACGCTGCCTGCATTCCGATGAAGGTCCGTAGACCGCAGCCAGCAACTGCAGCGCCATCTGTAGCGTGGAGCGTTTTTCCTTCGGCGCCGATGTAAGAGCGGCGAGGGCGTCGCTGTCGAGGAGCGCCGGCAGCGCGCAGAGAGCCTCGGCATCCGACCACTGCGCCATTTCCTGGTGCGCGAGGAAGCGCCGCTGGAAGCCGCCCCAGTCGCCCTCCTCGCCCACAAATTCTTTGAGCGGAGGCAGCCGTTGGTGCAGCGCAGCGGTCGCCGTGGAAACTCGCACTTTGCTGTCCCCGTAACTCGTCTGCGCCTCGGCGCGAACGACGGATGGCATCGCCGGTCGCACCAGTGGTGACGCTCCGTTCGCTGGTGATGACGCGGCAGCCCCTGTGAGGCCGATGTCGGACCGGAGGTTCAGGCCGGCCACGCCCTCAGCAGCTGCTGCGGCGATGGCGGGAGATTCAAAGTTGGAGTCCGTTGAAATGGCGGGAAGGCGCACCGGTCGTCGGCTATCCTCGCCCCGTGGCGGTCCACCAGCGCCCAGCCGTGTGATGTTTTCGAGCGTGGCGGCAGCAGCGTACAGCAGCTCCGCCAGCCTCGCGTGAGCCAGCCTCAGTCCTTCTGATGCCGGCTCCCCTTCATCCCGATGCCGCGGTAAGGATGCGTCCGGCCCCGGCTGCTCGATGCCTTCTTCAGCCGTCTCGGGCTCCACAATTTCAGCGGTGTCCTCCGCCTCCGGTACCCCGGCTCGAGCTGTCCGGCGCGTGTCCATGTTCGTGGTCGTTCACTTCTGTCACCAGATGTAATACCGTTGAGAACTCTTGGACACCCGGGGTTGAGGCACACGTATTTATTCCGCAACAGTTGTCACAACCGCGGACATACAATACTGGAGGGGGTATCGGCCCCCTCACCCGGCTAGCTGGGAATACACTGCTAGCTATCTCTGACCTACCTCCTAGTCCTCCACTAACGGGCTAGGGGAGGCTGACTGGCCCGACACTGGTAAGTCGGGCTACGGTACCCGGAGTCCCAGAGCACTAGCTCTGGCTCTCGGGACCACGCCGTTGGCTCGTTCCTGCGCGGCCCTGACAAGGGCGGCGTCCCAGGGGAGTCCAGGGCTCTAGCTAGACGGTCTTCGGTCTTCCCTGGTTTAGCTTAAACATTGTACCCCGAGCTCTCCGGCTCATCCCCTTTTATACCACAACCCCCTGCTGAGGGGTGGGGCCCCCCGGGGGATCACAACTCCGGGCCAACCCCCCAGGCTGCCCGGTGCAGACGTCGTTGCGAGCACCTCCCCTGTGCACTCACGGAGCCCCGCCCACTGTGTTTGTTTCCCGTGTGATCCTATGCATACAGCCCCTCCGTAACACCCCTACACAGGTGCGCGATCATAACGCGAGTATTCAGTGGTGAGTGAGTGCCGCGGGGAGCTGTGTGCGTGAGTGCGCGTAAGTTCGCTACGTGTCGGATACGGGTGCGCATTGGTAACGTGGTTATTCGACGTGGAGGCGAGTGCCGCACCGGGCTTTAGACGGGCACACGCTCTGAGCGTGCGAATGCTGTACATAGCGGTGTAAAGAGGGGGAGTATGGCGTTTGATTGATGATGCTGTGCGCACGTATGCTTGCAGTGTGGAAGCACTGCGTGAGGCCGTATGGGTAGGGGCGTCGCGTTCGAAGGCCGGCGAAACCCTAGCGGGTATTAGGGTGGTGGGGTAACGTAAACGGAATAGGGGATGAAGGCGGGGGGGACCCCGGGGGCCAATGGCCCCCACACTTCTACATTCTCCCATGGAGAAGCAAAATGCTCCTTCATGGAATAAATAAAAGGTGACCGTAGTCAATTTAAATATTCAAATAGTTAATAATGAAAATTAATCCAAATTAGTGTTGCTATAACAATTATATTTAATTAAGTAGAACGTATTGTTTATATTTATTTAAAGTTATGCATTTTTACCCCCCGCCACAAATGTCTGACCCCCCTCCCCACCTAGGTGCGTGACGTCACTTATGGATGGCCCCTTTATGACGGGGGGGGGGGGGGAGTTTGCCACTGAATGATGTCGCGGCTACTCGGGGTCACGAGCGCTGCACGTCACGACAAGGCCTTGTGACGCGACAGCATCACAAGGCCTACCGCGTTGACGTCACGCTGTGACGTCAACGCGGTAGGGTGGCGGCGCGAAGGCCCTCGCGCCCACACAGCAAATGGCCGAGTTCGAATCCCCAATTCCTCTGTGTGTGGCGTTTGTCTTCTTTCTCCGTTCTGTACTGAGTGGAGTTTGTATTCTCTCCCCTGTTCTGCAGTGAGTGGAGTTTGTATTCTTTCTCCTGTTCTGCAGTGAGTGAGTGGAGTTTGTATTCTCTCCCCTGTTCTACAGTGAGTGAGTGGAGTTTGTATTCTCTCTCCTGTTCTGCAGTGAGTGAGTGGAGTTTGTATTCTTTCTCCTGTTCTACAGTGAGTGAGTGGAGTTTGTATTCTCTCCCCTGTTCTGCAGTGAGTGAGTGGAGTTTGTATTCTCTCTCCTGTTCTGCAGTGAGTGGAGTTTGTATTCTCTCTCCTGTTCTACAGTGAGTGAGTGGAGTTTGTATTCTCTCCCCTGTTCTGCAGTGAGTGAGTGGAGTTTGTATTCTCTCCCCTGTTCTGCAGTGAGTGAGTGGAGTTTGTATTCTCTCTCCTGTTCTGCAGTGAGTGAGTGGAGTTTGTATTCTCTCCCCTGTTCTGCAGTGAGTGGAGTTTGTATTCTCTCCCCTGTTCTACAGTGAGTGAGTGAATGGAGTTTGTATTCTCTCTCCTGTTCTACAGTGAGTGGAGTTTGTATTCTCTCCCCTGTTCTACAGTGAGTGAGTGAATGGAGTTTGTATTCTCTCCCCTGTTCTGCAGTGAGTGGAGTTTGTATTCTCTCCCCTGTTCTACAGTGAGTGAGTGGAGTTTGTATTCTCTCCCCTGTTCTACAGTGAGTGGAGTTTGTATTCTCTCCCCTGTTCTACAGTGAGTGGAGTTTGTATTCTCTCCCCTGTTCTGCAGTGAGTGAGTGGAGTTTGTATTCTCTCCCCCTGTTCTGCAGTGAGTGAGTGGAGTTTGTATTCTCTCCCCTGTTCTGCAGTGAGTGAGTGGAGTTTGTATTCTCTCCCCTGTTCTACAGTGAGTGGAGTTTGTATTCTCTCCCCTGTTCTGCAGTGAGTGAGTGGAGTTTGTATTCTCTCCCCCTGTTCTGCAGTGAGTGAGTGGAGTTTGTATTCTCTCCCCTGTTCTGCAGTGAGTGAGTGGGGTTTGTATTCGCTCCCCCTGTTCCGTGTGGATTTCCTCCGGCGTCCCTGTGGGTTCGTCCCATGTTCATGTTCACGCCGACGCCCAGTGTGACCGGTGTCAGCCAACCATCCCAAGCGTGACCCTCTCGAGGTCACGCAGCAGCAGCTGTAAACTAAACTGCAATAAACTGGACTAGTTTTTATTAAACCAGGTAAGGCCCATTGAGCTGTGTAGCTCTTTTTCACAAGTGACCCGGCCATCACGAATGATAGCCCATCAAAGTGGATTATCATCGCGTGGAGATTTATAGCAGCCAAATAGTCTATACGCGTGATGTTGAGTCTATAAACGTGGAGGGGAAAAATCGGACACTAAGAAAAATCCACGCAACCACGGGGAGAGAGACACGCAAACTCCAAATACAGAGCAGGCGTCAGGGTCGGGATCAAACCCATGACCTCTTGTATACCTGGCGAGGTAGTCAACATCTTCTAGCCACCATCATCTTGAGGCTCGGTGAGCCTTTCCCGAGGTAAGCAAGCGTGGCTGGTGACGAGTTTACGTGTCGAGTTGCAACCACGTGGCCAGCCAGCACTGTTCCCGGCTCCATTGTGGTTTTTTTTGTGGCCTGCCAGGGAACACGGTGGGAGGATTCCCCGGCCTATTCCACCATGCCACCTCTACCCCTCCGCACCCGAGGTCCCGCCGCCACATGACAACAATGCTGGAACGCGTCATACCAGCAGCACATCATCATCATCGACATCATCATCACCAACGCTGGAACGCGTCACACCAGCAGCAGCACATCATCATCATCATCGACATCATCATCATCACCAACGCTGGAGCGCGTCACACCAGCAGCAGCGGCACATCATCGTCGACATCACCGCCGGCCCACCAGCCGACTCTGTTTATTACAACCCGCATCGTCAGTATTCACAATTAGTGGCAACACGCATCTCACAAAACAAGACGCCACACACAAGGGATAAATTATCTGTCGACTCTTAGAGTCGGGGGTGGGGGGGTGGGATGGGTGGGGCGGGGGGGTGGAGGGGGGGGGGGGGGCGTGAACAGAGGTGGCTGGGAAGTAACTTGGGTCGGACGTCCCCTGCCACTTTGACCCACGAAGGCGTGAGCGCAGCAGTGGTGAGCGCAGCAGTGGTGAGCGCAGCAGTGGTGAGCGCAGCAGTGGTGAGCGCAGCGGGTGGTGCAGCGGGTGGTGCAGCGGGTGGTG